AACTTTGGCCGGTTTAGTGTCTGGGGGTGTGAAAGGATTGGCAATGGGGGATTGGGGATTGGCACTTCAAAGAGTTTTTATAATGTATATAGTATGGAATACTCCTTATATATTATATTTTATTGCACTCTTCCCGAGCTTACCGGTACATAATAATATATATGGTGATCCGGTTTCCCATAAAGAAGCATTCCACCAGGTGCTACCTCCATCGGTCTTCCACCCCCATCCGTCGATCTCTCCATGTTTTTTTGTGGTCCCCGGTTCCAGTAGGTTCCAACTGTGCATATTTGGTGGCTTTTTGCTCGGTACTCCGTACATACACCGAGTTAGCGTCTAGTCAATGAGGGTTCGGTGTGAACCCCTGCGCCATATGCCTTTCCCCCTTTTCATCATTTTAAGCGGACATAGAGAGCAGGAAATAGAAGAGAATATGATAGAGAATATTTGACATAAAAGTATTATAAGCATAAAGTATTATACATTAAATCCCAAATTCGATGACATACCTAAAGTACTCCGTACCTCGTAGGGTAAATATAAATGCTGACCAAATAGAAACTCCACCAAGAAATTGATATTGCCACAACTTCACCCCAACTTTTGATATTCCTCCCTCTTTTCCCCCCTCCCCCGGTACTTTTTCTTATTTGCTGGTCTGTTCTGTTTTCTTGATCGCGTGGCGTCTTTTGCTGTGTTCAAGATCCCCCTTTCTTATCCTCTTTATACCCCATACCCCGTACTCCGGGCCTGGCTTTATATCATACCGCTTTCCTTTCTCCTCCGAGCGCATCCAATCCCCCGACTCGATCAAGTCTTCCTGGATGGAGAGACTGTGTGGCCATGAGTACCACTGAATTCCATACCGACCAGCTATCGGATAACCACACCAGCCCGGCTCCGAGCAACGCGGGCTCGACGGGGACTTCGGGCATTACGGTGCGCAATGGTCCACAAGGCCAACCGCTGAGTTTTAGAAGGTAAGCCAGTTCTTTCTGCTACCTATGTAGTTTCTTTTGAGATTGGCGACACGGTGTTCTGCCCTCCTAAACGGATTGTCGCGGGGGAGTGTGCGGGCGCAAAGCAAGATGGAGGGACTGGGTTTTTTTCGGTTTTTCGCTTCCCTTGTACCTGAAGGGAAACTTTCCAAGTTAAGCATTTTTGTGCGCTTGCTAATTCGTTTTATCTAATCTTAGACAACGTGCATCACGCGCGTGCGAGGTACGTCTGGATTTTTAGGGAGACGCGACTCTGGGGCCGAGGTTCTTAACGCACCTCGGCTCAGTTCCTTATCGCGATACATTCTCTCTCTCCCCTTCTTGCGATTTGGAAAAATGTAGCTGATGTTTCTCTTTTTAACTCAATTAGACATGTCATGCTCGCAAGGTGAGTTTGCTCTCGGTCTCGCTGCTCTTTCTTTTTTTTTTTTGTTCGACGCTCTAACTGTTCCCGTCGCCCAGGTTCGATGTGATGCAGCCAGTCTCGGGGTGCCTTGCACTAATTGTGTCGCTTTCTCTATCGAGTGCAAGATCCCGTCTCCGAAACGAAAGAAGAACAATCAAAACAAGAGCAAGGAAGACACTCAGTATGACGACAGTCCACCGCAAACCACCTCCTCGATCGCCGACGCTGGAGTTGCCCACTTCCAACCCACGAGCACTGAGGAGCCAGCCGATTCGATATCTGGATCTGTCTCTGCGTCCAGGGAAAAGGAGAAAAGTTCGGACTCGGATGAAAAGAACAATGCTTTTGGGTACCGGAACAACCTTATGGGCGTCGACGGCATGCCCAATACTGCCCTTTCCGAGGCCGAGGCAGCCCAACAAGCTTCGGCCAATAACGCTTATGCCCAATTCATGAAGCCGAAGTTTGCTCGTGCTCCGATAAAAGAGGCTGGCCGGGTGGCGTACTTGGGCGAATCGTCGAATCTGTCTCTTCTGGTTCAAGACCGCCATGGAACAGCAGATGTCGTGCACTACCCGCTCCCACCGAATATCAGAGGATCCCGCGCCCGTTTGACCGACTTGGACAACTTAGAAATTGATATTTTGCACCAGCGAGGCGCATTCCTGCTCCCGCCCAAGCCGCTATGCGATGAGTTGGTCGATGCCTACTTCAAATGGGTGGCCCCTGTCGTGCCGATTATCAACAAGAGTCGCTTCATGCGTCATTACCGTGACCCCAAGAACCCGCCCTCGTTGTTACTGCTGCAGGCGATTCTGCTGGCAGGATCGAGAGTTTGCACTAACCAGCAGCTTATGGATGCGAATGGCTCGACCACCCCTGCGGCTATGACTTTCTATAAGCGTGCTAAGGCGCTGTATGATGCTAACTACGAGGATGACCGTGTCACTATCGTGCAGGCATTGGTGCTGTTGGGTTGGTATTGGGAGGGACCGGAAGGTGAGTTTGGAATTTACACTAGTCTATTTTAATGGTTGTTCTGACTACTTACAGACGTCACCAAAAACGTCTTTTACTGGACACGGGTCGCTATGGTGGTAGCTCAGGGGTCTGGAATGCACCGCAGCGTCGAAATGTCTCAGCTTAACAAACCAGACAAAAGACTCTGGAAGCGAATCTGGTGGACGCTGTTCACCCGGGATCGATCTGTCGCTGTCGCATTGGGACGACCGATTGGAATCAATACAGATGACTCGGATGTCGAGATGGTCACCGAGGACGATTTCATCGAGGATGAGCTCGACAGTGTCGCCGAATACCCAGCAGACCCTGTCCATGTCCAGTTCTTCCTGCAGTATGTCAAGCTGTGCGAGATCATGGGCTTGGTTCTGTCGCAGCAGTACTCTGTGGCTTCTAAGTCGCGGCGTATGAATGCAATGGATCTCACCCACTCGGATATGGCGCTCGCCGATTGGCTGCAGAACTGTCCCAAAGAAGTATGCTGGCAACGCTCTCGGCATCATTTCTGGGCGGCTCTCTTGCACTCTAATTACTACACTACGCTCTGTCTTCTTCACAGGGCTCATATGCCGCCTGCCTCATCCGCACCAAATAACTACAGGGTTGAAGAAATGGCTTATCCATCTCGAACAATTGCCTTCCAGGCTGCAGGCATGATTACCTCTATTGTTGAGAACTTACAGGCGCATGGGGAGATCCGCTACACGCCTGCCTTCATTGTCTACAGTCTATTCTCCGCCTTGATTATGCACGTTTATCAAATGCGTTCCTCAGTTCCTTCGATCGTGGCCACCTGCCAAGAAAGAATCAACGTCTGCATGCTAGCCCTCAAGGATGTATCAAAGGTCTGGCTGGTGGCGAAGATGGTAAACACCTTGTTCGAGTCTATTCTCGGAAACAAGGTCTTGGAGGAACGACTGCAGAAAGCTGCGGGCCGGAGACATCAGCGCACGCGGCACGGAGAATCATCTTCCTCCAAGAGGCACGACCCACCGAAACGCAAATTCGACGATATGGATATCGGCATGCCAAATGGTGGCGGGCCTACACCCCCGGTGTCATACGAACGCTCCCGGCCCCAGACACCCGCTGTCACCCCCTCCCGGGAACTGAACCAACCCCCTCCCGGCGGCCAACAATCACCAAATACCCACCGCGGTCCTCACGATCCAATGACCGGCACGGGTAACTCCCGAGCCAACACCAGGCCTACAACCCCGTTCAACGGCCAGTTCTCTCTACCCGCCACACCCCCCGACTTCTTCCTAGTAACCCGCACTTCGCCCAACCTCTCCCCATCCCTCTGGGAGAACTTTCAACCCGACCAACTCTTCCCGGACGGCACCGCCTTCTTCCCGGAGTTGACATCGCCATCCCAACCCGCTACAGTCGACCCATCCCTCCAGATCCCATCACAAATGCCACCGGGCATGGCCCCGCGCCCCAGTCCCATGATGAACAATCAGCCGCAGCCCGTCCCGGGCCGTAGCATGTCTATCTCCCATGGCAGCCCGCCGATACTGTCGGGACTTCCGGGCGCGATGGGAATGCATCCCAACCCACCGCAGCAGATGTTCGGCATGGAAGGACAGCATCAGCAAACCTGGCCGCCCATGCATGGTCTCGATGGCACTATGAGTGGAGCCGCGATGGATGCTGCTAGCCAGGACAATGATACCTGGAGTAGCAGTTCCCGTAGCGGGCCTACTGCACCAACGACGCTGAATGTCGAGGACTGGTATGTCTCCCAAGAACTTGTGATTCTAAGATTTTTTTTAAATGATATTCCTTTGCTAACACGCACACCAGGTTCCAATTCTTCGGCATCAACGGCGGTTTTGGCGATCTGGCGGCATAAACAACCTCGATCTGGAATATGTTACGCCTCATGTTTATGCTGTTATGCACACTTTACCTGTCGAGAGTGGACGTGAGGACTTTGGAGTACAATGTACTACACCCGGGGTTCCCTTTGCAGACTCTCATCTAATTGCTACGCTGGTATATACTTTCATCTTTTGGAGCTTTCCTTTTTTTTCTGGTCTCAAAATGGTGTGCTTTTGGGGCTCGGTGGGCTTGGCTGCGGCGTTGTGGGATCATTCTTTCGTCTGTTCTGTCTTTAACGGCGGTGTGGTTTATGAATATCCGGATGAGATTCGTAGTTTTTGTTTTGTTATTTTCTTGTGCCTTCTATTGTTCTCTGATTTGGGTCATGTTGAGGAACCTTCATGAACTGGCTGGCATTCATAGGGAGTTGGGATGGAGTATATATACAAATTTCAATTGCTTATTTTCATACTCCGTATACCTATTTGTATAACCTTTGATCGTGATAATTAATTTGTATTTGACAAAAATAAGTGGACTCCTGATCAGCCTTGATGTATCCGATATCACCGGGCCCGCGACACGTCAAGTCGCGTCACCCGTATCACAAATAGACCACTTAACGTATTTCAGTTTGAACCCATTTCCTTTTCGTTTCACCATCTTCCATTGTGCCTCCCAAGAGAAAATCAACCGATTCCGCCGCTAGTGGCGCAAAGAAGTCCAAAGCCCCAGCAAGCAACCCTGAAATGGACATGGAAACTGAGCGCGCACTGGACAAGCGATGGGCCCCTGTATCTGTATCCCGCAACGCAGACTCGGAGTTCAAATTACGAACCCGCGATCCAGTCAAGGCTTTTACTTATATTTGTCTGGGGTGCGCGCCTTGGAAGACGGAAAACATAGAACAAGAGTCTGATGATGAGGACGAGGAAGACGAGGAGTCCATAGAGCAGAAGAAGAAAGATGATGCGGTGAGTGACTTACTATCGAGGAGAGAAATATCAGTCTTCAGTGCGGACAATAACTGATTTAATATCAGGAGGCGGACGATACCACTACCCTCGAACCGGCTTCCGAACATCCAGGAGAGAAATGGATCTTCACAAATGCCGGCGTGGCTAGGGGATTGCTCTGAAGCAGAGTACTGCCGTGCGCGACCCGGATAACTTCGAGACGCATGTCTACAATGACTTCTTTGGATATGCCGTTATGGAGCTGGTGGAGAATCTGCTCGTGGATTTTGACGAGGCTGCTGGTGACTGGAAGATGTAGTGGGCTATCTGCGAAGCTACCGGGCTGTATTTCCAAATGGATGCTATCATGTCGATGGTTGGGTTTGTCTCACTAGCTCCGATCAGAATATTGAGTGTTGACAGAACGCTAACGAGTGGGATTTAGCTGTGAAGACGGAGAAACCGTGAATGCGGTGTGCATCGCCTTCGCCACGATGTTCCTTACTATGCTTGCTACTCTGGAGCGAAATGACCTCTTCAAGTCGGACTCGGAGGTAAAGAACATCGGAGCCATTATCGGTCTTTTCATTCGCTTCATTGTTGATGTCGAAGAGTACGGTATAGACTGGGATGGCTATGATGTGAAGATCAAGGCTTACGCTGCTAAGCACGATGTCATAATCCATGGTCTGAACCACCGCTATGTGGAGTCGTCTGATGAGACGGTTGAGCTTCCTGAGGTTAGCGCTAATTCCAATGATCCCTAGAGCTGGGCAAAGGTATTAGCGAAGCTGACAAAAGACAAGGATGGGCGTCTGGGCGGTGATTCGAAGGACATCACGTCTTGGGCTCCTGCGGAACGCAAGAAAGCGGCTTTTGACAGGAAGGACCCCATTTCCCGGAGTCCATGACTCATATCAAGAATGGTCGGATCATGGAGATGGGTGGCTGAACAGCTGTGTTTATGTGTACATTAGGATCATAAGATCATTGCTATCGGGATGATTATTGTATATGTATTAATTATATCGTTTTTGAGTTTTAACAGAGCATGGTCATCGCTCACTATATTCGAGATAGTTAAATGCCCCAAACCCCCAAAGGATCAGACCCCATACCACCCCTTGACTGTTGCAGCTTGTTTACACGTCTGACTAGAGTCCCAACCAATATCGGACCGATCAATGTGCAGAGTGAGATTGCCCAGATGACTACTAGATAGATCTCAGAGGGACCATCAGATTCTTTGGAGAATATTCCCTGGCTTTCAGCGATCGAAGCAATGAGATATCCCACTTCGCCCCGGGCTACCATTGCCAAGCCCAGGATAGAAGGTGGATACAGGGACTTTGGTTTTGGGGGGAGGGAGATGCGGGAACCCGGACTGAAAATGGGTGAAGAGGGTCTGTTCGCTGGCTGGGACTCATCTTTGGCATTATTCGGTGTTGAAACGTCTGCACTGTCATCTTGAGTTGCTGGTCTTTGTGGGGCTTTCTTGTTTTGGTTCGAATTTCTCCTGATACTCCAATGACTCGCACAGTAGGAATGAGTGTATGCATATAGTTTCTGGATGGTAGAGACTAGACATGCCAGAGGGCTTGGAGAGAACCGAACGAGCCATAGCCCTGTGATCATCTTTCCAATAATCATCAGCATGGCGTAGATAATCCCACGCCATATAACTTGGCCCAAGAACATTTTGGTTATGGGGATTGCGAATCCGATAGATGCCTACTGATGTTAGTAATACTTAGTATGCCCCTTATTGTATCGAATAGAAGAACTCACGAAGAAAAGAGGGAGAAGGATTCGGTTGACCGGTTCTTTATAATATCTGCCGTAGATGAGTTCACCTGTAGGTGTATCATTATGGGCTATTTCTGTTTCCCTGGGTGGTTGCGCACGCGAAGAGTGTGTCTCTTCAGTATGCCGGTTCTTGGTATTCTGCGGGCTGCCTTGATGGTCGAAAATCTGCTCGTGGAAGTCACCAGACTGCAAGGCAGGAATTGGTGTTTTCGCTTCAGCTACTAGCCCATCAAACCAAGAGACAACCACACCAGCAAGGTAGGCAGCAAAGAGACTCGAAGTTCCAGCATACGTCGCACCAGTCACAATCCCAATTAACACGCATGTCTGTGTCAGGAAAGCAAATTGTGCAGTCCTGACAAAAGCTGGGAATTTGTCTTTGCAAGCAAGCAATTTCTTTAATCCTGGCTGTAAACAGAATGCACACAGCAATAGAAGACCGATAGCGAACCCGATGGAAACAAAAACTGGTCGAATAACAGTCAAAGCACTGAATGAGGTGGCACTTCCACCTAGATTTGAGATAATTTGAACCATGACTAGACCGACCACATCGTCTAGCATTGCAGCACTAGTAATTACTATGCCAAGCCTTGTAGTTGTCAACTGCGTGGTTGAGAGGATGGTAAAGGTGGTACCGAGACTAGTTGCGCTCAAGGCTGCACCGGCAGCGAATGACTGAAGAGATGTTGCTGATACAAGTCCTTTAAGAATGAATGACAGGCCCATTGGGACACAGATTCCAGTGATGGCAACAGCTGCCGAAAGAAGGATACTTGCCTTCAAGGACTTTACTGAGGTTAAGAGACCGCCTGCTGATTGTAAGAAAGCATATCCAACAACTTGGGAAAGGGCACACACTTACCTTCGTAAATCAAGAGTATCAGGCCTAGATACCCAATCTGCTGGATCACTCTTTCTGTCTCTTGATTGAACCATTGTGCCCCGGGAGTGCCCCACAGGACACCGATAAAGAGTTGGCCGATTAATCCACAGTAGAGGAGCTTGTCTAGACAAGTATTGGCTATGTTCAGGGTCAAAAGAAAGCCAGTGTAGTTGAGGAGTGTTTTGATTGATGGTTCGTGATAGGGGAACGCCGCATCCGATTTCGGTGCCATTTATATATTTTTTTCTCTCTAGTTGAGCTGTTGAAGACCCTTGGGTAATTTCCAGAATCTAGGCTTCGGACACTATAGGGATGTGCAATTAGATATGTAGACAGAAATGAACAAGGATGTAGGAATTCCATGGGAGCCAAGTCGATGACTAACGGAAGTTTACGACTCTACCTAGGCAAGACATTGATATATATGTATAAACAGCATTACACAGCTTCTAATTGACTTTCAATTGATTGATTTATTTGCTGTGGATATAAATATGACCAAAATGCATTTTAACAAAGAAGCAACTCTAAGTAACTCTTGATATATGCATAGACAACCTTGGAAGTTATACCAACATTTATATAAAACATCTAGTTATACTCTCTATACAGAACTCTATATAGACTCCATATCCATAGCTATTCAGCATGTCCTTTCTAAATCTATATATACAAATCTCCTATAAATGTAATCTAAATGTAATCTAATCAATATACAAACACCTTAATCAACGATCAAGATACGGACCTCGGGAGTAAACATTGTTGACTCATAAAAAAACTCCACATACCTGCATGCCTAATTGGGACTAGCGGATGACGAGATCGCAATGGCCGTGGCTCAACGAATCAGCGCCGACTCGGACGAGTCAGCTTGTCCGGGGGGAAGATGTGAACTGCTTGGGATTCTTTTTCTTTTTCTTATCTTATTCCTATTCCCCTTTTTACTTTTTGGCATATTCGCATCTTTTGACTCTTGTGTGTTTTCAATTAACCTCAATTACCCTCTACACGCACACATACACACTCTCTCCTTCTGCCCCGCTACAGCGATGTCGGCCTCAGGATCCGGAATTCCCAATGCTGCCTCGGGGTCATCCAGCGGTGTGAAGAAGGGGTTCCCTCAAGTTGACCTGTCAGGCAATGACCTTCCACCTTCCCCTGCCCCATCTAGCCCTCATACCGGTCGCCGGTACAATATTGCCACCGAGCTGGTCTTCACCGAAGGCAGTGACCAATACAATGCTAGCAGCGTCCCTATCTATCAGGTACAGATCTACCCCCTGTGCCAAAAAGGCGGTTTCAATTGGACATGCATACTAATCATACTGAATCATATAGAGTGCTACCTTCAAACAAACCTCCAACGCCGGCGGTGGAGAGTATGACTATACACGGTCCGGGAACCCCACTCGCACACATCTTGAGCGTCACTTGGCCAAGATCATGTCGGCACAGCGCGCCCTGGTGGTGTCCTCCGGCATGGCAGCCTTGGACGTGATTACAAGACTTCTCCGCCCTGGTGACGAGGTGGTCACTGGTGACGACCTCTACGGTGGCACCAACCGCCTGCTTAAGTACCTCTCGACTAACGGGGGAATTGTCGTGCACCACGTCGACACCACAGATCCCGAGAAGGTCCAGGAGGTGCTGAGCTCGAAGACAACCATGGTGCTGCTTGAGACCCCCACAAACCCCCTGATCAAGATCGTCGATATCGGAAAAATTGCCACCGCCGCCCATGAAGCCAACCCCGCCTGCATTGTCTCTGTGGACAACACTATGATGTCTCCCCTTCTCTTAAACCCACTAGACTTCGGCGCTGATGTCGTTTACGAGAGTGGCACCAAATACCTCTCCGGACACCACGACCTGATGGCCGGTGTCATTGCCGTGAACGACCTGCAGCTCGGAGAGCGCCTATACTTCCCGATCAACGCATCAGGATGTGGCCTGTCGCCGTTCGACTCTTGGTTGCTGCTACGTGGTGTGAAGACATTGAAGGTCCGCATGGACCAGCAGCAGAGCAATGCCCAGCGCATTGCTGAGTTCCTTGAGTCGCATGGCTTCAAGGTGCGCTACCCCGGTTTGCGGTCCCACCCACAGTACGAACTCCACAATTCTATGGCGCGGGGCGCCGGTGCTGTGCTCTCGTTCGAGACCGGTGACACGGCCATTAGCGAGCGCATTGTGGAGAGTGCCAAGATTTTCGCTATCAGTGTCAGCTTTGGCAGTGTCAATAGTTTGATCAGTATGCCGTGCCGTATGAGTCATGCCAGCATTGACGCGAAGACCCGGGCGGAACGCGCTTTCCCTGAAGACTTGATCCGGTTGTGTATTGGTATTGAGGATGCGGATGACTTGATTGACGATTTGCAACGAGCGGTATGTATTATGTGTGTCCCTTGCATAATTTGGATTTCTGCTAACTGTTTTTTCCAGTTGGTGCAAGCTGGTGCGGTCAATGTCACTATGGATGGTATCGAAGCTCGTTAGATATGTAGTTAAGTTATTGGTATCAGGCGTTATGGGATTTTAAAATAAGAATCAGAGTATAATGAAGCAAAACCTGTACTCCATTGTATATATCGTATATAAAGTATGTCCTGCCTCCTATCTCAACAATATAAAACTTTGGAACAGCGTTTAGCCGATAAGCTTATCGGGCCGGCATCGGAGAGCCGGCGCCGGGTCGCGCCCGGGTCATTCTCGTCCGAAGCTGGGGGAGATCAACGATTGATATAATACTCTCTCAGATCTCGCATTTGTAATTCATTTTGTCTCATTTGACCATATCTTGTATACCATTTCACTCAATGCATAACCTCTCTCTCGTCCATACGATATGAGCATGAATCGGGATGCTGTTGCGCAAGATACAATATTTACAATGGCGACAGTAAAGCAGGAACAGAGTCGGGGTCAAGGACAGGCCCCCAGCAAACGCTCCACAGCTTCAACATGGAATACCAAGGATCTGGGCAAGCGACTTGGCGTCGATGTCGCTAGCGCAGCGACAGCCGGCGCGCTGACCTGCCCATTGATCACCATCATTGATCGGTGAGTAACTATCACAACTCCTAGGTCCCAGTAACGAAAAAGACTAATCCCTCCAGTGCAATCATGGAAAAAGCATCAAAAGGCTTCCCGATCGGCCAAACAATCAAAAACTGCCTCCGATCGATGGTCGCTCGACCCAGCGGCTTCTTCTTCACCACTCCATTCATCCTCATCTACACCCTATATACCTCGACCTACCTCACAGCAAACGCAATCGATACCCTCAGGTCAACAACACACAACCAGCCTTACAACGCAATCGACACAGGCCTCCCCAAATTCTTCGCAACAACAATAGTCAACATGACGATATGCGTCTACAAGGACGCGCGCTTCGCTAAAATGTTTGGCGCCTCTCCTCCCTCCGAATCGCCAGCTAGAAACAACACCATCAACACAAGATCAGTCGCGCAGAAGTACAGCTCTGCTCTCCGCGTACCACTGCCTCCCTCCGCACCCACAGCACCAACCCTCCAAATACCAAAGGTCTCATACGGCCTCTTCTGTCTCCGCGACAGCATCACAATCTGGGCTTCCTTCAATATTCCCGCCCTCATCGCGCCCTCAGTCCCAGACTTCCTCGCTTCAAGCCCAACCATGAAATCCAGCATTGCGCAATTCGCCTGTCCCGCTGCTATGCAGTTCGCCAGTACGCCCATGCACCTCCTCGGTTTGGACCTATATAACAGACAGCCGGCCGGTGGTCTGCATTGGACGGAACGTGCGGCGCGGATTCGTCGTGATTATGTGCCTAGTTGCTTTGCGCGCATGGGGAAGATTGTTCCTGCGTACGGTATTGGTGGTGTGGTTAATGTGCGGATGAGGGATTCCTTGATGAAGAGAGTTGAGAGGGGAGAGTGATTTGGATTTGATTTGATATCAAAGGAGGAAGAATATGTTAATCCCCGTGAAGGGTGGAAGGTAGGTTTCGGTTGGCTAATGACCTGATGATCTCTTCATTTTGTTTTCATTTAATGTTTAGATTTGCATTTTGTGGTTGATCTTTTGATCTCACGTTTCTTTCTCATCTCTCCACTCAGCCTTATGGGATTAATGCTCGGTGTTTTTTTTTTGTTTTTTCAGGCTTTGGCCTCGGTGTTTCATATCCCCAGACTTTGTTTTATATTGGACCGGTGATTGTTTCGGGTGTCTCTTTCTGTACTATTTAGTTCATACTTAGATTGCTGTGTATTCACCTGTGATTTGGTATAGACTCGGGCTTTAGACTAGCTTAGAGGGTCTTGGCTGTTAATAACTTAGATTTTCTTTGGATATTGCTCTTTTTTATGTGAAGTTAATATTTGGTTCTTTGTTGGTTGCACCAAATAATAGTTCTTGAATTGAAGCATATGTACTTGGGAGCAATAAATAGGTACTTTGATAGAAGAGAAGTGAAAGAGAGTAAGATCAATCCAGCAGATGATACTCCACATCAACAACCACTCACCATCTGTGGAAACCAGTTAGTTAATCGTGTTAATATAGCAAGGCAACAAAAGACTTACACAAAAGGCTCGGAATGCAAATACAGCTCCTCAACCTCGCCCCCAAATACTCTGGTTTGTGCCAAAGCCGCCGCATTCCGAGTGTCATGCAGCATAGAAGCAGGACCACAAACCAAAACCCCAACCCGCTGCTTTTTTTGAAGGTGCGTTTCTTGCGCATGTGCCACGGCAACAGTGCGCGCAACTAAACTAGGAAGATCAGGTCGAGCATTGCGGTGAACATTCAAACTGAAACTGCCCGTGGTAGTAAACTCAGTCGGCGGCACCTTACTAGTCGTGCCCTTAACATCGTCAGAATCCGAAGCCGAGGAAATCCCCGATCCTCGCTGGTCAGTGACGTGCACAGACACCGCAGTCTCGAAACCGTTGTCCGAGCCCGCGGATGATAACATGGTCGATTCAGACAGCCGTGATTCGATCTCCTCGATGTACCAATCTGCCATGGCGTGATCGCGCGTCGAGAAGACAACCTGGAGGTTCCGCCTGGAGGGTGCTCGTTTCTCGCTTGCCAGTGTGTTCATCCCAGTCAGCCGGAGCGCTTCATCTACCATGGCCAGTGAGAACCCGCCTCCCGAGCCGCCAGCTATCACCAGGATCGTGTCAAATTGAGCCATGTGCAGTGCGCTGACACCACCGTACGGCCCCTCTATCAGGATCTTCTTTGTGCAGCCTGGATTCTTGGCTGCCATCGCTCTAAGGCGTCCGGTAACGCCACCGCGTGGCTTGATGTAGAATACTAGTTCCGAGGCTTTGCCTATTTCGTCTGGATTGTGACATGCGGAGGAGATAGTGAAGGGATGGGCGGTGAGGAGGTGTAGGTCTGATGTGAGGAAGCGCACAAATACGTGCTGGCCTGGGGTCCATTTGATGATTGATGGGACTGCAACGCGGACAAGACCGCTGGGGAGCAGTTCAAGGGTTGCGCTGTGGATGCCGTGCATTAGGTAGGTACGGATATGGCTGGCTATCAGGCTTAGGAAATAGATCACGCCCGAGGCTATGAAGTAGTCCCTGATATATGTTAATGCAATTCATGGGGCTCATTAGCATAAAACATACCAGGAAGAGAGCCGGAAATCGCAGTGAAGGAAGAAAAACACGACAAATACTACCGCCACGAAAATGTGCGTGGCTTTGAAGAATTCATAGAATCGATTGCTGTGGAAGAGTGAATAGTTTGTCACCCAGTAGGCAGGTTAAATGTGATCTTACCGAATGAATGGTAAAGACATGAGGGTAAGATATGCCTGTGAAATGAGAGCAGCAACACCTGTCCAGTAAACAACACTGGTCTTCCACTGATACATCATATCCCCCTTCCAGATGTGATATATGATGTAAGGGAATGTGTGGATCAAGGCTAACACAAACATCGCATAGCTAGTCCAGTGGTGGAACACTTGAAGTTTCTCATGCGGAATACCAGTCACACCAGAGATCATGTTGGCTTTCGTGCTCAGTACCCTAAAAGGAAGTCAGCAACCGAATTGCATGCTCGGAATCGAACACTCACAGTACGAATGGAAGCAGCGCAAGAGCCATCCAGCCTGATCGAGTCGCAATCGGAGGACTACTTCCATAAGAAGCATCTGCCGGCCAGTAATAAGGTTGCGGGCCGAGTGTCATCGCTATCAAGAGGTCAGCCACCACTTTCGTCACACCTTCGCAATTTCAAACCACCCACCGAAGAAGAAGACAGCGCCTATAACTCCCAGAATCACCACGCCCAACGCCGGAGACCAGTATCCCAGCGCAGGAAATCGATATCCACGATAGGACAAGTATCGTGAGGCAGAAGTGAACATGCGCCATGGTCTGGTCCGTCTCACTCTATCTGGAGCGAAGCTTACAAGCAAGTTCGAGATAGCGAACACTCCAATCACCGCACACATGAAGTAGACGGTGTTCAATGCGTAAACATGGTCGGCTTGGTACCTAGAACAGGATTCCGATAATAAGCACATGGATATGTAGGTAACTCGGAAGAGTGCATACCAGTATCGCCAGTGATAGTTGCGATAGAGACATTGAGCCTCGGTCAGTTTGCATTTGTCGGCGCGAGACGAATGAAGCATCACCGGCTGGTCAAGCCAGGGTGTGCCCTGGGCCATCTTCATGTCCATCATCTTGTGCGACCGAAAATAATTGACAGTAACACCTACAGTGTAATGGTCAAGGGAATTCAGATATCATGGAATACATAAGGTATGATCGGCAGGTCTGGAGCAAGTTTGTTTTTTGGGATGGTTGCGGAACCGAAAATGGGATATCTCCTTTATTCTCCTTGTACCTGTCAACGAGGGGGATATGAATGGTCATTCCAGTCGTTTCAGTTGTTATCGCCGATCACCCGAGGGGATCTGCTCACAATTGAGCACATTTTATGGGGAGATGGGGTCTGCAATCATTCGAAGCCTCGTGGTTGGTTGGAAGATCAAAGGCTAAGTGAACTAGAGCACATTTGCGCTTGATACAAATTGGGTCTGACATCTGACATCGTGTGTGGGTTACTACTCCTCGGAAGACATCATGCATCATGCATGTATCTTGCATGTCATCCGAATATCCTGGGATTTCCCTAAATACGAGCTATTCAACGCATGCGGAGCACTCGAGGCTCGAGCCATAGTGGAAACTGTGGTCTCTTACGTGTGGGATCATAAAGAAGTCGAAACAATATTCTCACCGAAAGAGTCATAGGGTAGTATATGCCAAAAAATAAACTAAAGCGATGAAGTAATTGAAAACAATACCAAGAAAAAAGAAGAAAAGAAGGGGGAAGAAAAAGAAATCGAGGCATAATATGTCTGCATCGGGACTAGCGCCTCACATGGTAGAGCCAACCCTACATTCCGCATTTTCTCAGTCGATTGCGCTATGATCCTGAGTCCCAGGTCCCCTATTCAAGGGGAACTACTGCAACAGAAACTGTAGCCGTGATAGGCCCCTTAGAAGTGGATATCGGGGTCTCACTCCCGATTTCACACATTCTCAGCGCACGGTGGCCTCCACGCACGCTATCTGCTTCGAGGCCCTTCGCCCGAAGAACGCTGGTAGCCACGCGTGCCGAATCCCCATCGTAGCATACCACGAGGATGTGATGCTGCCCCAGATCTGAAACCAAGACGTCATCGTTGAAGATCTTCTCCAGCTCCACCCATTGCGCCTCCAGAACAGTCGGATCCGAAAACGGTGACGGGCTGTGAGGCCCAACACTAGATAATGGTAGATTCATTGAATCGGGGAGGTGCCATGCCGAAAAATCTTCCGGTTGGCGCAGGTCCAGAACCCGGTTCTGTGGCTTGAGGACAATCTCGCTCAATAGGCTTTGCGCAAGGGATCGCGGTGATCCATAAAATTGGGGCAGGACCTCTAATGCGTCCCGCTCCCAGCTCTCGTCATATCGGTACAGGTCAACTTTCGTCAGGCGCTGAGGAAAGGTGGATAAGTTAGCTTTTTTTTCTTTTGCTTTCGTCCAGGGATGAACTGGCCAAGACGTCATGGAGGTGATATTTACCTCGTTTCGGATTGGGTGGAATTGCTGCTCGCCCAGCTTTTGGAAGTACTCATCAATGTACTGGTATGGTAGGTCGCAGCAGAGGAACACGCAATGAGTTGTGCCATCTGGACCTGCAAGATCAGATAGCGTTCCCGCAGCCTTGCTCTTTGCTAGCATCTGGAAGAGCCCTTGGAGGTTGAATCCGGACGATGGCCCACACACTAATCCCTCTCGGCATAGGTTTAGGGAGTGAGTGTATGACTCGGCCGATCCAACTTCTTCGATGGTATCCACCGCTCCTTTCCAGGGAAACTCAACAGGGCGCATTAGAGCATACGACCTGGGCCCAGGTACCCGGTCACCTGGGGCTGTGCAAACACCAAGTCGATGAACGGATGGCTTCACGTCTTTGAAATATGTCCCTAAACCGGTCATGGTACCAGAAGTGCCCATACCAGCACAGAGAACGTTTATTTCGGGTAGCTGCTTGAAGATCTGTGGTCCGGTCCATCGGATATGGGACTGCCAGTTGTTGTTGTTTTCGTATTGGTTGGGGTTAACAATTGTCTCTGACTCCAGAGCCATTCTTCGGGCATTTTGGATGCCGCCTCTTTCGTCTAATGGCTCTGGTTGAGATGGTCCACCAAACAACGTAATGTCGAGACCGAAGAATTGCATCAACTTCAGTTTTGCATCGCTGGTCTTGTTGCTCAGAAAGGCCCGTGTGTCATTTACTCCGTGCATGACTCGAGCGACCATCGACATTGAAATCACTGTTGATCCGGAGCTGTATTCGATGATCCGGTCTGTCTCCCCAGGCACAACACTAGATTCGAGCATATTCAATGCTGGTTTTGTGTTAGCCTGCAATTGGTGTTTAGTGTTCTTTCGGGGCTTCTCATACCTGGCATTGCCTTGACATTGTTTGCTGGATGCATGGTCATCATTTTGGCATATATCCGTACCCCATCTTGATGATAAGGGTTCAAATGAGGTGGCAGCTCTACGAGGGGCAAAGGAGGCTGACAGTCTGGGTCGAAGTATTTTTTCAGCGAGTCAGTGCCGAAATATACATTGTGCTCGTTCATATTGGTCATTTTCTCGGAAGAATTGATCATCTTGTTGAGACACACTTAGTGACCCTTAGTGTAAGATATAGATGCTGATAGTCGAGTAGTAGACAATCTCTCCTCCACGTGTTTGAGGAGCAACCTTCTCGAGTAATGAAAGCAGATATGAGAGCAGAGAATCTCGGGTCACTCTAGGCAATTATACAGAACGGATTTCTATAGCGTCCATCACATGCCCCTCCATCCTGTTCCGTCTTTCTTGGCATCCGAGATGAAGGAAAGTAAGATCTACTCTTACTCCACTAGCGAGTATCTCGCCACAGGACTCAATATGAGGGTTAAATGCCATAGGTGGACGCTGCAAACCCTGAGAATATACTACTACGATAAACAAGGAAATTGCGTGGACCGATCCCGGGGATATCGACACTATCCCAGTGTAGATCAGACTCTGTAAGCTAAGCCTCTTTGCCACAGAAATTGGGTATAGAAAGGTTGAAAACGGAATATTTTACATTTTAAGTTGCGTCATCCTCTGGTCTCTTTGATGTTGTACCTGGCAATGTTCTAGAATCGAATTGTTCATGTGTCACATAGTTTGACAAGGTCCCCAGGAATGGAATCAATAATCCCACAGGTCCTCACATTTGATTTCCTATTAGCTGAACATATTCCGATCTTCCGGTATACATTATACAATTATATCAAGGGACGCGTACCTTGAGGGTGTTTGAGAAGTTTTGTCAACTTTGACGCGCAGATCTTCTGTCAAGGTGCTCAGACTAAACGTCGATCAATAGACTAATGCAATGACGAATGTGAACAGATGATTAATTATTTCGCTTTGGCCTCTTGACGAGCTTCTTTTTTTAATATCTCTTTTTCTTTTTCTATCCCGTTTTCGGATCCTGGATGCCTGTTTACTTTCTATCCCTTCATATCAACACGCCATGACAGGGGTACTTGAAAATTCAAACCCAACAGAGGATGTCGCGATTGAGAAAGATGGGACAAATGTCACTTTCAATGAACAAACTAATTATGTGCCTAAGCGTACTATTATCACGGTTAGTGAATGAGTGAATGTGGTCATAAGCAATATATGGCCTAGCTAATGTCAACCACTGCTAGATTTTCCTAGCATGTTCCAGCGTTGATCTCCTTGCTTTGATGGACCAGACGACCCTGGCGGCCAGTTTGTCTATCATAGGAAATCAATTGGGAGCTAGTGACCAGACCTCCTGGATTTCGGGCGGTTACTTCGTGTGAGTACTCTTTTCTCTGGTAGTCATGACACGACTCAGTCAAACTAATATTCGCGGTACAGAACATCAACATGTTTCCAATTACTATATGGAAAACTATCTGATATCTGGTCTCGCAAGCTCGTGCTCTTCGTCGGCCTAGCCATTTTCTTCTTCGGGTCATTAGCAGCTTCCCTTGCACAGACAGCCACGCAATTGATTGTCTTCCGCGCTTTCACCGGAGTTGGTGGCGGTGGTCTCATGACGGTCGCACAGATGATCGTCAGCGATGTTGTTCCCCTCCGTGAACGAGGCAAATATCAAGGTATTCTAGGTGCCGTCGTTGCTATTGCCAATGGCATTGGTCCCGTCATCGGAGGCGCACTAGCCTCCATTTCAGAAGACTCGTGGCGATGGATCTTCCGCTTGAACCTACCGCTTACTGCATTAACCACATTAGCTGTTTTGTTCTTTATGCCCCTTCGGAAAGTCACGGGCGACTGGAAAGTCAAGCTGAAGGCAATTGATTTCTTTGGTGCACTTCTGGCTCTCGGGGGAACTTCGGTTTTGCTGCTTGGTTTGACTTGGGGTGGTGGCGAGTATGAATGGAACTCAGCGCATGTTATTGCAACTCTGGTCGCTGGGTTCACCATCTCTGTTGCTTTTGCTGCGTGGCAGTGGAAGGGAACGTCGACACCGCTGGTTCCAATGCATATCTTCCAGGGCAGAATCGTGAACGGAGCGTGTTTAACCATGTTCATCAATGGGTGGAACTTTTTGGTGCAAGTCTACTATATTCCCACTTTCTATCAGCTGGTATTTGGATATTCGACGGTAAAAGCGGCTGCAATGCTGCTCCCTATTACCCTCATGCAAAGTATGAACCTTCATCTTCTGGGTTGCGTTGCAATGCTGACTTCCTTAACAGCTATCAGCAGCACGGGCTCCGGTCTTGTTGTACACTGGGTAGGTCGATACCGGGAATGCATCCTTTTTGGATGGATTATCTGGGCTATTGGTCTTGGTCTTTTCTCGACACTTGATCAACATTCGGGGCTGGGAAAGCAGATTGGGTATGGTATTCTAACTGGTGTCGGGGTCGGAAATACTCTGCAGCCGTACGTGATACCCTATCCCGGTCCAATAAATTCCACTAATGTTTTTTAGGTCTCTTATTGCCGTTCAAGCCGGTGTCGAGAGACGGGATATGGCTGTGATAACCTCATTCAGGAAGTGGGTGATACCCATAGTGATGCTAGCCATTTTATGGAGCTAACAATGGACAGCTTCATACGAAACCTCGGTGGCACTCTCGGGCTCGCTATTGCCGGCACTGTCATGTAAGGGTTCTTTCAGATCTGTCAGCTTGCTCTCTCATTAATCAATACAGAAATAACATTGTTTCATCATCCATCTCAGCCCTCAACCTCGATGAATCTCAGTCCCGCTCTCTTCTCTCGAGTCCACAGACTTATCTTTCAAATTTATCTGCAGCGGATGCTGAGCATGTCCGTGGTGTGCTGAAACCGGCATATCAAAAGGGATTCCGTATTATCTTCATTGTCGGTGCATCACTTGCGGCATTTGCTTTCTTTTTGGCTGTTTGGTTGATGCCACAGGTTGGTTTGAACCGAGCGGACGATCAAGCTTTGAAAGAAGAAGCAAAGAAACGACTCAATGGAGAGTTGGACGAAGAAAAAAGAGAGAGCTAGGCCTAATTGACTTGGATCACACACACACAAAAAAATAATGGAGCACTTATGGTGTACATTGGCTTATAAAAGATTTAGACACCTTGGAACTCCCTGGGGCCCCGGGGCCGGATGAATTTGGCTTAACTAAGCTCGAAGGTTCCCCGGGGCCCAGGGCCAACCTCCAGGGCTTGGAGGGTTGTTTACCTAAAATCTTAGTCATTAAAATATCACGTGCAATATACGTACATTGGATCATTTCAAGGTTGTTAGTTAAGCTTAGTGTACTCCGTATAGTTCCCTAGTCAGTTAAAAACTACGGAAAACTATGGAAAGGCTTCGGTCGCAAATTGGCAAATCTAAAAGAAATCAAGTTTGTGGGCTCGCATGTGATATATGTCGAATGGCATATAAGAGAGTGCCCAACACCCGAATCGGGTGTTAGGCCGTCCGTGCATTAGGGCGAGTATAGCTTCACCTTTTTGGCATATATGCCCGGTATCCCAAAGCGGTGAGAGCGTTGAAAGGCACTAAATTCTCAGCCCCTCCTCTTCTGAAATCGGCCGCCAGAATATCTTTCAGCCCTTCTATACTACCTTCTGAATCAATGACCTAGTTTATACAGCCTCATCGATATACGGTCATGACTCCCAAAAACCCCCCATCACATAATGACTACACAGTCGGATGGATATGTGCCCTGCCACTGGAGATGGCAGCCGCGCAAGTGCTTCTAGATGAAGTCCATGAAGACTTACCCGTGCAGCCGAATGACCACAATGCTTATACTCTTGGAAGCATTGGGAAACATAATGTTGTGATTGCATGCTTGCCTTACGGTCAATACGGCATTGCATCTGCCACCACAGTTGCCGTGCAATTATTATCCAGTTTCCGCTCTATTCGATTGGGTCTGATGGTTGGGATAGGAGGAGGGATACCAAATGAAGACGCGGATATTCGCCTGGGTGACGTTGTAGTCAGCAAGCCAACGAATTCACATGGGGGAGTGGTGCAATTTGATTATGGTAAAGCGCTAAGTGGCGGCGAGTTTCAACGAACTGGCATACTCAGCCCTCCACCTCAGATCCTCCTAACTGCGCTCTCAAAACTGCAAGCAAATCATATCACGGGCAAGAGACGATTCATGCATTTTCTTGACGACATCAAACGTAAAATGCCCCAAGAATCTTCGAATTTGACCCGCCCAACTCAGGAGGATCATTTATATCTTACCGATCACAATCATGCCGATGTCAGCTCCAAGACTTGTAATGGCTGTGATAAGACCAAAACCGTTTCCCGGCCTTTGCGAGAACCAAATCAGCCTATGGTCTACTATGGCCTGATTGCATCTTCGAATCAAGTGGTGAAAGACAGTCAATTACGGGATCGGCTGGATCATGAGTTGGGTGCATATTGCGTGGAGATGGAAGCTGCGGGACTCATGAATAATTATCCGTGTCTGGTCATTCGTGGAATCTGCGACTATGCCGACTCGCATAAGAATAAGGAATGGCAGGAATATGCCGCGGTAGTGGCCGCGGCATATGCCAAAGAGCTTCTTTCAGTGACCCCGGTTGTTCATGTTGATCAAATACGAACTGTGCGGGATACTCTATCCGATCCTGGTATGTATATCCATCTCACAACATTTATTGTTCAAGGTATAATAATCGTATTTAGATGTCACTACTACATCGTATGCGAAAGACCTGTCGAGGGTGATCACTCCTTCACAAATCAATCCACCTGTGGTGATCAATCAGAGTGAGCTGGGTGGAATTTATCTGGGCACAATCAGGGGCGAAGAGATAATCCCGAGGCTAATCCAAGATCCTGCCTTTTGGAGGGGAGAGATAAATGCCCTAATAAGGCAGCTACTCTCGATACATCCCCAATGGTGGGTAGAGCGACCGGAGCAGACAGCGAAGACTATGAATGAGTTCTTTGCTCGTAACAGGCTTACCTTTAGAGTGAACATTCTTCAAAGAAGGACTGACCGTCCAGGCTACTATGGGCATGATCGTCAGTACCTGAATACACTGTTCCATCATAATCTAGGTTGGTTAAATGGGTTCAGCGTGAGGGAAGGTGTTCCTGAGATCAATTTGGGTATACTCAACCTGTGGTCTATCCTTGAGTTTCTAGATAGAAATTGACGATGAATATGGACTGTGGGAAAGATATTTCCAAAGATAAGTCTAAAGATGAACTTTTGAAGTGTATCATCGCTCTGGCCTCCTTGTCTCCGTCCTTGAGGTAATCGCGGAGATTGACCATATAGTTCTAGATCCCCATGTCTCATACTGTTTTAGAAGCAGTCGAAGAGTTTAGGCGGTGAAACCAATTTCCCGACGTATTCCGATGGACTGTGGACTGCCTCAAAGGGACCCAGGACAAAAATAAAATAACCCTAGAGAGGGGATGCGTGGTGTGCACCCTAGTAGAAAAGTTAGAGCCATCTAGCATATGATCCAGGAGCCAGGCACGACTGAAGGCTCTATGAAATTTAATTTTCCTCCTCATTCTTATATATTCTTGACTCTAACATTATTGGGACCATGCTAATAAATGGTGATGCACAGGCATCCAGGCAGCAAGGCTTCGCTTCCAAGGTTGCTTGCCTCTAGTTAGTGAGACCTCTCTTGGTCCTCATGAAGCCCTTTTATGCTCCATGGTGGTAGGTAGATTCATCACTTTCATCCATCTCTCTGCTTCGTGTTGCTCTGTGTGGCCACATAGATATTTGCGTGCATCAGATAGCTACGATGCTCTTAATTCCGACGTTCCGGTAGAAAGAGCATGTTGGTTATTATCTTAGGGTTGGATGAACGTAGCTAAATGAATATATCAATTTTTTCATCTGACCTTCAGGATAGGATACGGAAGATGTAGCAGCTACAGCAGACTGATATAGTTGACTGACTTCATGCCTAGCACTGAACCTGGAAACCATAGGTAGAGTTTACACAATGCTTGCGATAAAACCCTTTACTTCTAAAATTTTGCTTTATGTCCCTAACTATAGAGTGTTCCGTATTTTAACATGGAATGCAGGACAAACGAAAACGGAGTTACTTTAGTTTGTCCTGTCTTTGACTTAAATAATTGGTCACTGTAGAAGTTTACTTGTTTCGATTTGGCTTTTACGTACTAGTAGTGATACATACATACATGTAAGATCACCTAATAGCGAGGTCCTAATTGCGGTTTGAACTGCCACTGATACTAATGGATCTCACGAAGGGAAAACATATTGAATGGCGTTTATTTCCAACTGGTACATAACAGAACATATTTTGTCAAAGATAAATCACACTTAATCTCATTCACATTTTTGTTTAGCAGACTATCTATGTTAGTATCTTCATGCAATCAAGTCGGGCATTAGAATTACTTACTGCCAATCACTCCGTTCACTGGAATGTCGATGGAAGTCGTGTAGCTGGCGGCCTCACTTAGGAGGTACACGTAGGCACCACCAAGCTCCTGGACCTCAGCCAATCGAGGGAAGCCACCATAGTACTTGAGCTGCTGCTCCCAGTCCGGTTGTTGAGGTACCCAGTATGTCATCGCGGTGTTGACTAGGCCAGGGGATACGCTATTGACACGGATTCCGTACTGTGCCCATTCCATAGCCAAGGTGTGGGTCATATTGCGAACCCCGGCCTTCGAGGCACCGTAGGGAGCGGATGGAACGCGCTGGTGGAAGGTTTTAGTATTGAGTAGAGAAGAGCCTAAGTCAGGAGAAAGCTACCTTGTTAGGACGGTAGGAAGCCATGGAAGCTGTAAAAACCACGGAACCCTTGATTCCCTGTTTGATAAATGCGCGCGCAGCGGCACGTGCGGTATAAAAGGCACCGAAGAGGTTGACATTGAACAGAGTTTCAATGTCCTCCTTAGTGAAGTCAAGGGCAGCTTTATGGTGGGTACGTCCGGCGTTGACCACCATTCCGTGTAGAGCACCAGCCTGCTCGATGATCTTATCAACTGCAGCGGTGATAGTGGCCTCCTCAGTCACATTGGCAGTGACGGCAAAGAGCTTATTGGGGTATTTCTTCGACACAGCAGCGAAATCTTCTCCCGTCTCACCAATATCTATCGAGTAGACTTGAGCCGCACCGTTGTCAAGGCAGCATTCAGCAATGCCCAAGCCTATTCCGCGGTTGGCACCAGTAACTAAATAATGATGATCTTAGCTAGCCACTCTCTAGACTTTCACTTTTTAAAACGCTTACTGGCAATCACTTTTCCATTCAAAGCGACTTGGGTTTGAGGGACAGGAGTTTGATTGGCGGCCATGATGGATGATGTGAGGATAAGTGTATTTTGGGTGAAAAGAATGTATAGATGATTGATTTGGGGAAACATTTGACCAAAACATGTCTCCTTTATAAATTTAGGAAAGATTGGTAAGGCTCTCATGTGCTAGCAGAACACCTCATAGTCCACATCGACGCCCATACTCCTCGAGTGATGGCTCGAGACGGTGTTGGAGAAGCGTGGGGGATACGTGGGGATAAAGTGGATGTGTCCCCGAGACGGCGCTGTAATCCACTTTAGCCTCCGATCCCCCGCGAGAAAGCTGGGGGCTCGAAATTCAAAAGGCGTCTCATTGTGTTTTATCCAAACGCATAATAAATTTGAATCTTCTCTCGTCATCGGTGTTTAGGTCTTTTCACTTTTTGCCTAACGAATTCGCACAATGGCTGCGCTGCCCGCCTGGAACCTGCTCAAAGGCAAAACCGCCGCCGTTACTGGTGGTACCACTGGAATTGGTCGCGCGATTGTTCTGGCATACATTACTCAAGGATGCAATGTCGCCGTGAATCACTTGGGTCTGGCCAAAGACGAAGATCTTCGTCACAGTCTGCTAGAGGAGGTCAAGGCAATTGAAAACACGGGCATCAAAGTGGGCAAGATCCTTGAGCTCCCCGGAGACGTGACCAAACCGGAGACAAGCACCGATTTAATCCAGGAGGCTGTATCAAAATGGGGGAAATTGGACATTTTTGTCGCCAATGCGGGTGTATTTAAACCAGCAGAGCTTTTGAAGTAAGTCGAATGGCCCTATCACAGTCATTTCGAGCTCTTTGGTTCTTCCTCCACCCGTCGGAGCCGATATGCTAATAAAAATAGGATTGAACCATCTCTTCTAGACCACACGGTGGATGTCAATATCAAAGGCACTTTCTACTCCTGTCAAGCCGCCGCTCGCCAGATGGTGAAGCAAGGGCACGGTGGTTCAATTATCGGTGTTTCTTCCGTTAGCGCTTTGCTCGGTGGTGGATTCCAAACTCACTATACTCCTACCAAGGCCGGGATTCTCTCGATGATGCAGTCTATGGCCATCGCACTTGGCAAAGATAAGATCCGGTGCAATGCCCTGATGCCCGGCACTATAGGAACCTCCCTAGCTGCCCACGATATGAAGGACCCTATCAAGATGGCCGCCCTTGAGGAGCGTATCCCTCTTGGTCGAATCGGAGATCCGAATGATATGGCGGGGCCGGCAGTTTTCCTAGCTTGCGACGAGATGAGTCGTTACGTGAACGCAACGGGGTTGCTGGCAGATGGTGGAATGTACAGTAAATTGCAGTGATCGTGGTATCACATAGGTATCAAATAGGACGCATCAAGTTAATATCTTGTCAAGAAAGTAAAATGCTTTCATACCAAACTTGTTACTTGTTAAGATCTCTCGTGGAAGATCACTCAGCCATGACTCAATCAGGAATTTTTTCCAATTTTATTAAATCTCATCCATTCACGCGATTCAAAAAAATTGCATTCAACTTTTACAGACTTCATGCCTTGCCGGCAGAGCCGCAAATTATCATCCACTTGACGGTCAGATCCGCGACCTTCTGAATACCCTCCTCGATCAGTTGAGTTTGCGCCATTTTATTCACATTGGCTCGAAGATGGTCGTAATAGTCGTCTAAGACGAGGCGGTTGACATTGATCTTGCTGACACCCGCAGCCACGCAGCGCTTCATTAACTCAGGCGCAAACCCATTGGTACCATGCAGAGCCAACCTGACTCTACTATTTGCCTGGTTACGGACATTCTTGAATCTAAACACGCGGTTATTAGTGAATACTATTGATCGGATTTCGCTTGACTTGCCTTTCAAAATCTAATTGTGGCCCCTGCGGGCCATACTCCCCATGAACATTCCCAAACGCCGGAGCAAGCACGTCCACACCTGTGCCGACGAACTCATCCACCTCTTCGGCTGTCGTCATACACGCTTTCAACCCCGCGGTATCCATTACGCCATCCTCTCCACCTTCAATGCGACCCGGTTCGGCCTCGGTAGCCTTCTGGCGTTCATTGCAATAGCGCACCAGTTCGCGGGTTTTCTCCAAGTTGACTTCCTTCTCATAGTGAGACATGTCAACCATGATACTGTCAAAAGGTAGATCCGCTGCTCGCTTGATGATTGCTTCGGATTGCGCATGGTCGAGATGGATGCTAATCGGTACACTCGCGCGCTTCGCGGCATCTGCGGCGGTGCGCACAAGCAACCCATCAGTGGCCTCGATAGCCCAGGGAAAGAATTGGATGATGAGGGGTGAGCGAGCTGTCTCAGCGGCCCGGACGAGACCTAGCACATGCTCAATGTTGTAGGCGATGGCGGCGATAACTCCATACTGCCCGGCTTCCGCATTCCGCAGGATGGTGAAATGACAATTGGATTCTTTCCAGGACATTTTGGAAAGCTGAGATAATCAGGCTTTTGTGGGGGTCAACGATATAAAGTGAGTTAAAATTGGAATTGAATACAAACATTGTGACTGGCGGGCTGATCAAGTTGGGTTTATACATAGAGCCGTGACGGCGGCCAGGAAATGACCCCGAGACGGGGCGAGTCCCACATTTAGCGTTTCTCCGTGGAGAAGGGCACAGGGTAGAAGAGAGCTTTCGCATCGGCTTTACTTATTCGAATAATTCAAACTACAGTTTTATCGTCTTGCTCCAAAACCATCGCGCGGGCACTCTCCGTCGCTATCTCACAAAATGTCCAACAACACCATTTCCTTCACAGCCCATGACCAGCGATTCGTGGCAATTGTTGGTCCATCTCCGACAGCAGAGCTTCTAGCAGAAAATAAGGACTACCCGTTTGCTCACGAGGCCGGGGTCTTTTTACCTGACATCAATAACCTCTTCGTTACCAGCAACCGGTGTATTGACCCGAACGGACAGCAAAAAGTACACATTACTCGCGTCGATCTGAGTAAAAGGCCAATCACCTGTGAGGAGATTGCCACCGATATTCCTATGGGCAATGGAGGCATCAATTATGATAGAGACTACGTTCTCTTCTGTGCACAAGGGACTATGACCGAGCCAAGCGGACTGTACCGAATGTCTACAATTGCTCCGTACAAGTCGGAACTATTGAAAGGTGATTTCCACGGCCGACCATTCAACTCTATCAATGACGTGGTGGTACACACGGATGGTTCAGTCTGGTTTACCGATCCCATATATGGCTCTGAGCAGGGCTACCGCCCTCCACCACGTCTGCCTAACCAGGTATACCGGTGGTGTCCAAATACTGGGGCTATTCGCGTAGTGGCCGATGGTTTCGGGAGACCAAATGGTATTTGCTTCTCTCCAGATGAGCAGGTTGTTTATATCACCGATACAGATCGGGTACATGGAGACGGCAGCATCGATGATCAACGAGTATCTTCTATGTTAGTTAAATGCGACCTCCTTGGTTAATCGAGATTTTATTCAAAGAGCTGATCCTGCAATTTGACCTAGTTATGCTTTTGACGTGTGCACTACTCACGGGGAGCCATTTCTCACAAACCGACGCCTCTTTGCTATGGCAGATCAGGGCATTCCAGATGGAATCAAGTGCGATTTGGAAGGAAATGTATACAGTGGCTGTGGGGATGGAATCAATTGTTGGTCACCAGGAGGCGTACTCTTGGGTCGGATCCTTGTGGACGGAGGTGTGGCAAACTTCTGCTTCGGCAGAAATGGGGAACTATTTGCCCTCAACGAACATCGATTGTGGCGAGTCCAGTTGGGAGCAGGAGTAAAGGGGGCATTGCTTCGATTATAAATTGTTCAAGGTGTTACTATGTCGGGGAACTAACAACAAATGAATTATAGCTATTCACATGAACACCGGCCCACGAGGAAAGGAAATACATGAATGACATGAACAATGCGAGGGCACCTGCGACTTAAAAGGACTCTTGCGTATCCCAAATCCGTTCCAACTCACCCCCAAGAGATTTGACTGGCCAGCCACTTCGTTCTCGACAAGCCTCCAGGAGCTCTAGAATCGCCCTTCTGACATGAGGTTCTTGTGTAAATATCCCCGCTGTGCCTGCGTAAGCCCTATTTCTCTCAATTGCAAAATAATACGTACCTATAAATATGGCCTGTGAAGACATTATGCTGGATGCACTGTCCTTTAATGTCATACCAATACCACATATTTTCTCCACGCATCGTTTTATTGTACTGTGTCGCTCAAGATGTCGCTTCAACCCGCCTAAGCTTGGTTCATGAAAAACCAAGAGAAGACACGACACGTTGAAAAATTGGACCGCGACAGCTGCATGGCCAAGTTAGTTTGGCTCCACCAGCCACAATGCGGAGTCCATATAATAACATACCAAACGCAGGCGGGCTAATCCATACAGGTTGAAAGCATGATGAAGCCTCGCGTGACCTAATTGGTAAGGGGGAGAACTCAACAGTCAGATGCCGCTGCCAGTCTTCCAGCATAATCCGAAGTCGCATTGCCTCATCAATTTGATGCTGGATGTTTTCTTGGGTTGTCTCAGCCGCACAGTAACTGACCACCTTTGCGGCGATATAGATAGAGCGCGCGGCGAGCTCGTGCGGTAATAACACAGAGAGAGGCTTTTGTGGAACCCAAAACGTAAGGGTCTTACGTTTCTCGCGGAAAGCAGCCCAGATGTCCTGGCACAGCCATGCCCACCAGACTGCCGATTTTAACCCTCCAGTTTCCCCGTGTATCGTTTGAGACCTTTGAATCAGGAAAACCCCTTCTAGGTGACGCTCCCAGTCATCTGTAGAATTGTCGAGCATTTCGTAGGTGGAAATTATGAGGGCAGTTGACAACAGCTCCAGGCTCATCTTGTAAGCACTAGATTGCATAGCCCGACCCACGTAGTGAAGGGTTTGGTAGTAGTATTGAAGAGCCTCTTCCGGCTTGCTTGTGATGCTTTGATCATCTAGACTAGGGTTTAAGGCCAGGTGCCGAAAGGAAAGAGCTAGTATGGCATTTAGAAGCCCAGCATTGTGCAACTAAAGCCCAAGTCAGTTTTTGAACAAAATTGATCCCTATTCAGTAGAACTCGACTTACTGCTAGGTGCACGACTAACGTAGAGAATTTGTTTGTTGGGTCAAAAAGATCGATCTGTGAGGGAATGTTATCAGGCGAGGGCACACCAGTCAGAGGTATAGTGCAATGACCAACCAAGGGGCTAACTTGATGTACGAAATGTTCAAACAATGTTTGTTCTGTTGGTAAGAGATCTATTGGCTCCCGTGACTGCCAAACCTGCCTCTCCGTCATTGTAGTGCTTTCAGTGAAGCGGTCATCTGTCACGTCTTGGCTGGCCGACCTGCCAGGAGGGCCATCCAAAACCTGAGTCGCTCGCTGTAGCGAGCTGGTTTGTGTGGGGACATCACCACCCCGGTATCCAAGTGAGAGGCTTTGGCTCTCCCAGGTATCAGAGAGAGTCGATAACTGTGGGCCATCGCTGGGAAAACCACTTGCTAGTAAGCCTAACCATCGTACCGCCGCCAATGACGTGGTGGATGGTGACAAGTAATCCCCATGCATTCCTCCCGGACTATGGCTCGGAATATGCTCATTTTCCAGCCGATATTCCAGCATGGCTGGTGGAGAAGGATTAAGGTCCGCTTCCGAAACAGTCCTGGCATGGTCAGAGGCTCCATGGAGCTGGTAGTTCACTTGTCCTGCGTTGTGATCACTTGATAGATGGTTATTATTCTGTTCCAGAGGCGGTATTGGCTGCACTGTTGACAAAATTGGAAGGTTCTCAGGAACAACCTTGTTGGTGGCTGAAGAGTCGAGGCTGTGTTGATTCAAGTTGGTGTAATCACAGATCTTATCCTTTTTGGCACACGGGCCACATATCGGCTTAATTTCATCACACTTCATGTGTCGCTTCCGACACGTCAGGCTGAATAGGCTGTGTCAAGCAAGGCACCACAAAATTCGAACACAAAGGACCTTACCATCCGTCCTTAGTCCGCAGCCCGCGCCCTCGAGGCTTTCGCTTGCGTTGCCATCTGGCGGGCGAAGTTGGACTGATCATTGAATCATTATTCCATGTATTACATATACCCTCTGGGTTGAGAGGCCAATCCATTCTTAATCATGCCTTTTGCTAGTGTCCTCGTCTCGGGGAAGTTGGTCATGGAAGCAAAGCACGTGATTTCCCCACATTCGGCTCCGGGGGCCCCGACCCTGGGGCCCCGGGTCTTGATTGATTACATAATAGGAGCAAAGAAACCCCCAAGGCTTTCAAGGTTGGAATATACCGCCACATCAGACGAAGCGCAGTTGTGGAATAAGATTACCTGCTGAATTGAACTATTGAACCTATCCTATCTTTTATCTCACAATAACTGTGGCGGAAAATAACTTGGAACCGCAGTTACTTGGCAGGTGAACGCCCAAGAAATTCCAGTCTGTTTCAAGACGAATCTTAGCGAAAAGCACGTATCTAATTGTGACCAACTGTTTCTTCGTGCTCGGTATCGATATCATGTAAGCCCTTCTCGGCTTCGAAAACGGAGTGACGCTGATGAGCGCGGCCGATATCCGGATGTTCTGCCATGAGTGTCTTGAATTTCGCTTCGGCTGCCCAGGTAAATGGCGACTTTGCAGCGAAAAGCATATCGATTTCCTCGAGCGTTCGCTGACTAGATTCAGGATAGAAAGCCCAAACTAAAATTTATTAGCCAAGGCCCGTTGCACTGGCAGAATAGAGAGGTTAATCTTCTCACCAATTGGTATGCTAATGAGATTTACAGCACCAAACACGTGCAGAGTATTTTCCCCGATGGCTGCAAAAATGTATGGAAGAACTAGAGTCAGTGATCTAACGTCCGTTAATATCTTCCGATTAGAAACGAATTCGAAAAACGAACCCATTCCCCAAACTCCAGCCAACAACGCCCCAAGCATTGCCCTTGGCTCGAATCTTGAGCGGGAAGATCTCTGCTGGATAAAGCCATGGAACGGTGAGCCAGGTAGCACCAAAGACAAATGTATACAAATAGACCATCGATGTTGCTGCAACGCCCCATGGCCCTTGGTTGTCTGGGTTATTAATTCCACCGCGAGCCAGACCACCTGCGAGGAACATGGCAATTGCTTGCCCTGCTGCTCCCCACCATAGGGTCCAACGGCGACCAATCCGATCAATAGTGACGACACAAATCAGGGTTGCGAATGCGTAGAAAATATTGTTCAGTCCTGAGATCCACATTGTCTTTTCAGAATCGAACCCGGCGATTTGAAAGATAGCCACGAGAGAATTAGGAGCTTAGTAGATAAGAAAAGGTCACAGATTCAACTCACTTGGTGCGTACATAGTGACGCCAGCTATGCCAGACCAGCATTGCAGGATCTGCAGCCAGATCACTAGTTGAACACGTCGCGCAATGTGCAAGTCTCCTTGGCCAATACCAAATAGCATGTGGAAGTAGGTCGTTTTGTCCTCCGACTCTGCCTCAAGCTGGACGACAGCTTCAATCTCTCCCATTTCTATCATGGCCGCTCGTTCGTTCTCGGACCCACGAAGCCGCTTGAGAACGTAAGATGCCTCGTCCCGACGGCCCGCCATACAAAGCCAACGAGGTGATTCAGGGAAGAACCAGCAGCCGATAATTAGCAAAAGCAGCATAACAATCTGGAAAGCAATGGGGAATCGCCACTGGAACTCGGATGTCCCGTTGTCGATGTAGCGAAGTCCAAATCCTAACCAGTAAGCCACCACCACCCCGACGATGTTCAAAGTGAACTCCATAGCGATGAACATGCCACGAGACTCGTAATCCGCAAGCTCAGAGCCATACACCGGAACGGTGGCATTGAGAATTCCAGTCCCAATGCCGTTAATGAGACGAGATATGATCATCCACTCCGGGTTCATTGCTGTGCACTGGAGTGCAGCTCCAAGTATACCCCAGACAGCACCAAATGCAAGGGATTTGATACGGCCGAATCGATCACTGACATACCCGCCCATAAAGCATCCAACCAAAGTTCCCAGATAGTAGACTGAGACGATGCCCCCCTGCAACAGGGTGTTGGTGACCGTTATTGATCCATTTTTCTCGTACCCCAGCCCCATCCGCTCAACGTATGATTTGGAGTCGTTGACTCCAGCCATCATCCCTTGGTCATATCCTGCATGATGTATTAAATTTAGTTATTCTAGATATGAAGAAGATATATGGCTTTTCAGATTGGGGTTGACTAACCGAAAAAGAAGATTGCAAGACCAGCGAGGCAGTTGACCGCTATCAACAGGCGTTTCTTTTCCAGCCTCGCGGCGATCTTCCACTTTGCCCTCTCGTCATTCAACATGTTCAACATCACATACAAGTGAAGGGGTTATATAAGGGTTATCACGGTCAAAAGCAAGTCAAGTAATTTTGAGAAGACTGGGGTTTATTTGAGAAACGCGGGGCCCCAGTAATTATATCATCTACTTATACCATACGTCACGTCAAATGTCCCCCAAGGCTAGATCACCTCAAGCCATACCGATGTGAGAGGGAATCCGTTACCCCAGGATCCGAATCTAGAGGAATTGCGGAGACAACCCCCGGGGTGTTCAACCATTATCGGCCCACCCAGCCGGAGTAGTGCTCGACTCGTGGCACACGACGCGACACGGGGGCAATTTAATTGTCGCTTACTCTTGAACCTTTTCGGTGAGAAGATTACCGCTAAAGTGCGTTTTGGATAGAATCCACAGGAGAGGAGCTTGCTAAGAAAGCCGCTGACCTCGGGGGTTTTCAGGATATGTAGGTAAGACGTGCTCAAAGACAATCTCAGCATGAGGTTAAACAGATGTGGCATTTGTAATTCTGTCTTTTCCGAGTCAGATAGAAACAGCCCATACTATGACATCGACTCTTCAACCGAGTCTATTCATTTGTAGGTTTTTTCGCCGCCTTTCTCCCTTCATCACAGCAAAGATTTCACCCAGCGTCTCTGGGAAAGTGATCTGGAACAGTTCTCCATTCATTTGGCAAATTTCATAGAATTTCCCATCCGCCTCAAAAATCACTTCTCCCCCCTGGGGGTCGCACATAATAGGGGTGCATTTCCCAAGCTTATGAGTAGTGGCGAGTTGATACCCCCAGGTATCTGGGGTGGCCCATTCACCCTCGTAGTCAAGCTCGTCGGAGTCCATTGTCCAGCCTGGTGGAGGGGTCACCTAAGCGTTCTATTAGTATTGCATACATATGATGTAATCAAGCGCGTACTTACAGCAGAATTTTCAGCCATAGTGGCTCGTCTTTGCTCATAAGTGTTTTTGAAGATGTAGGATACAGCTTTATATCTGGAGTCAAGCTAAGCGTGGAAAGCAGAGTGTTTTGAGGTCTGTAATGACAGAAATCAGGGGGTAAGATCACTGAATACATATCCATGGATGTCCCATACCTCGATGATTAACTGTAATATACACCCGTAGACCCGTCTTTTGTATGGTATGCCTGACACTCCAAGTCACATGATGTCTTGACAGTAAAAACTCGGGGTTCTAAGGTTTATATACTACGAGACAGATATGACCAACCATGCTGAGGCTATTGATACATTATTCTAACTACAGCTGTTATTTTAATAACCAACTTGTTGCGATGAAATAGCCAACTGGTGTATATGCAGTCACGTGATTAACCGCGCTAGAAACGTCAAGACCGGATCCAAAGAGTTTTGGGATGTTGACCATCCTAGACCCAATTTCAATCTCCTCCGGGTTCGAGGGCTTGGTTGAATAGGGGATCAACTGATAACCCAATCCAACATACGAGTCAACAAGCCTTCTGTTAGAAGGTCACGTGACCACCACTGTTTGCTCCCAGTACTTAGTCTTAGCATGTAGATAGTTTCTCTCTCTCTCCACGCATCAAGAGATTTCCAGTTACATCTACATCTTCATCGTAGATCTCTAGTATCTCTAACACCTTCACTGTCTGAAAATTACTCGGATCAGTTTGAATCGATAGAGTTCCCCTAATGTATCTACTCAAAAGTCAATACTACATAGGTCCTCCATTGGGGTAAGGTAATTAATTCCTAAATATAATTATCCATGAGCAATCCTGTTTTTTACTCTGCCGCAGACATTCGTTTATCTATCAAGTCCCGATACTCACGCTGTTTGAAACACATGTCCAAAAATACCTCATATTTAGCCTGGAGCAGCCTTTGTTCGTTAACATCAGCCGTAGGCTCCAAACGACGGCCAGGCTTGCTCATTTGGCTCATGATACTCCATAGATCCTTCGATTCCTCTTCCAATTCCTCACTGGCGGCCATAGCTGCCAGCATAGCAGCGCCGTGGCAAACGGCCGCATGCACATATTCCGGAACAAAAATTGGCATTTTGCAACAAGAAGCAATCAAGTGAATCAAGAGGTCGTTGAGTGTTTGTGACCCGGACATGAAAATTGTTGAGATTTGATACCCACGTTCGTTCATCGTATCCACAATCTGGCGCGTTTGCAACGCTATAAACTCCAAAGCCCCATAATAATGGAGAGCGAGATTTTTGATTGATTCTTCACTTCTCAACCCGATGACAGCGCCACTCATTTTCGGATCAGCAATAGGTGAGCGGTTGCCCCATAAATCACCGTAGAAAAAGAAATGTTTAGCCAAATCGGACACATGAGCACACTCTCTCTGCTTTGCCTGTTCACGCAGGTAGTCATTCAAAAAATCGTAAACTGAGATGCCGGCATTCTTCGCTTCTGTGGCTGTTTTCGAGTATGCGGGATGACTTTCAACAACATGTCGGATGAGTTCACCGGTTGCCGATTGGCCTCCTTCAGCAACATACGCCCCAGAGAAAAGGACATCCCGATACGGACCCCAGACTCCGGCAACGAACAGCTCATCATTCGTCATCGCTAGGTAGCAAGTGGACGTACCAGCAACTAATGCCAATCGGTGCGAAAGATGTTCTCTGTGGTCGATCGGACCATCCAGTCCAAGGTCAACTTTGGCACCAACTGTGCCTATCCAGCCTGCATAGGCGTCAATGACCCCGCTACCGACAGCGATGCCTGCTGAGAGCCCCAAATCAACAGCCGCCTTTTCACTTAAAGGTCCAACGCGCTCGCCAGCACTGAGATACCGGCCGTTCTATCAAAGTTAAGTGGTGAGCTTTTTGGTGTTGAGCATGGAAAGTTTGAGACCACCTACCTTGCCGTTGATACCACCAATTTGAGAATAGTCGTTGGTGGCAAGATCCTCAAGCCCAATCTGCTTCAGAAACTCCAGCTGCCAGCCCTCTTCGCCGTAGTCTGCGCCAGCTGCGAGATAGCCCTGTTTGCAAATTACGCTGCAGTAGCTTCGAGTCTTTTCTCCGGTAGCTAGATGGGTGAGGGCATCTGCAAGATCGTAAAACTCGCAGTCCTGGAACTTGATCGGATCCATATGTTTCTTCAGCCAGAGAATCTTAGGCATCTCCATTTCGACCGACATGCCGCCCCCTACATACTGGAGCACAGGGTGATCGGTCGCATTGATGGTCTTGGTCTCTGCCACTGCGCGGTGGTCCAGCCATAGAATCACATTCTGGTCACTACTGCCTTCCAGACCACCCACAGAGACTGGATTGTTGGTCTCTTTGCTGAAAACAGCCAGAGAGCATGTGGCATCGAAAGCAAGACCTCGGATACTGGATGGTTGCAAACCTCCTTCCTGGAGAGCTTGCTTGACTGCCGTGCAAATGCTATTCCAGATGTCTTTAGTTGATTGCTCATAGAATTCCGGATGGGGCTGCCATGTTTTGATACTTTGGGAAGCAAGACCAACAATATTGCCCTGGTGGTCAATGACGCAGGCACGCGCACTGCCAGTGCCTACATCAATCCCAATGTAGTGGAACTCAGTGTCGCCAGCCATGCTGATTGCTGGATAGAAAACTAGATACCAATGGTTCCCTTCTAGGAGGAGGAGCTGTTTATATGTCTGCGCAAATTTTAACAGAAAGCGGATTTCATTAAAAAAATGCAAAAATCTCCAAGTTGATGGAGACCAAAGCATATCAACTTACGTTTTCGTATACATTTAGATCTCGCCTGTTGAGATTTTCTGTGATACAGAGCTCCCAGGAAGAGGTATGGGGTCAGCCCCCGAGACGAGGGTTCTCGAGACCAAGGACATCCACGAGACGGTGGCAATTGCCGTACCCCAGGCCCCACGATGACCACTGTGGCTTTCTTCTTTCTCGTGAGTGAAGAGTATGGCGCCTGATAATTTTTAACATGAAGACAAGACAAGATAGAAATTGAACATAAATAGATCTTCCCATGTTTCTGACGGGAAGTTTGTACAGTGAAAACGTTTTGACTATTCAAAATGGTTCTCTCCAAGCCTGAAGATGCGCCTGTCCAGAAGCTTTTCGATTTGACAGGTAAAGTCGTTGCAATCACTGGTAAGTGAGAATTGACCGTAAGCATATGTCTAGTGGTTAACATAGTAGGCGGTGGTCGAGGAATTGGCTTGGCTGTGGCTACTGCGTACGCTGAAGCTGGGGCCAAAGTATGTACCTGTTTCACCATTTTTCTTTCCAAATGAGAACTGTCTCTGATTTCTCATTCAGGTTGCCCTTCTATATCGCACAACGACAACCACTCCCAAGGCTGCGGAAGAGCTCGCTTCTCAATACCAGACCCAAGCTCGCGCCTACCAGGCCGATGTCACTAAGCCCAAGGAAATCTCGATGGCCATTAACAAGGTCGTCGAGGACTTTGGTAAATTGGATGTGATTGTGGCCAATGCGGGTATCTGCTCTGAACATGCAGGAGAGGAGTACACTTCGGCGGAATTCCAGGAGATTATGGAGGTCAATGTCAACGGTGCTTTCCACACTGCGCAAGCTGCTGCAAGGATCTTCAAGCAACAGGGCTATGGCAACGTGGTCTTTACAGCCTCTGTCAGTGCACTTCTAGTGAATACACCCCAACGACAGGCTGCGGTATGTGCTTCCGAAACCGGAAAATTCCCATCGCTGGTAAGACATCCCCGGACTAACATCAGGCCATAGTACAATGCATCCAAGGCAGGTGTTTTGCAGCTGGCGAAGTCACTTGCCGTCGAGTGGGTAGACTTTTGCCGGGTAAACTCCGTTTCTCCCGGCTACATACAAACTCAGATCATGGAATACGCGTCTAAAGAGATGCTCGACAAATGGCTAGGTCAAATTCCTGCACGGCGATTTGCATCTCCTTATGAGCTAAAGGGGGTAATCAACTACCTGAAGACTTCCAGAAACATATAGTTTGCCAGCTAATTGAACCTATAGGCTTACCTCTTTTGCGCGTCGGATGCTTCTAGTTATATGACTGGATCAAATCTGGTTATCGATGGCGGATTTACTCTACCTTGAACAAGTTATATTTTGAATAAAGCAAATATAGCCAGTCAACCATAGACCAACTAGGCTATTCTCAATTTAGCAACTCTTCAAACAAAACTTTTGGTTTCAATCTTGGTAAAAGAGTCCGTGTTATGAACAACGTTAGGAGCAGTGAGACAGGCGGGAACCAACCATTATTCTTTGATAACTCATCCAATACTCAAACGTGGGTCTGCTCTATGTCGTTTCAAACGTGTTCTTCTTGGGTGAGATAAAAAAAACACTAGGAAAAGTCAAATGTTGTAACCTCATTGTTGTCGGTGTTGTTCTCATTGTTTCTTGGGTATATCAAAAACACGGAGTTCACATATGGGTATACTCCCCTTTACTCTCATTATGGGTACCTTGAGGCTAGCTCAAAGTATTCAGGAATCCAGCTCACAGAAAGGAAAGCTATATTAGATTGATTATTCACTATTTTTGTGGCAAACAAGATCTAGTGAGTGCGTCCCTTCACAGTGCCGTCAATGCCTTCCAAATCGCTATATAGGCGCCACTCATAGTCCAAGCTGGGATCATTGAAGCGGGCCTTCGCATCCAAAGTGGCAATTTTTGCCATATCCTCCGGCTGTAGCTCGAAGTTGGCCTCCAGGTTCTGCTCAACCTGCCAATCCACAACGCTTTTGGGGATGACGGAGCGCCCGCTATTGATACCCCATGCAAGCACCACCTGGACAGTACTCTTGCCATACTTCTCGGCAATTTCTTTCATAATTGGCTGGTCGATAACCCGCTTCATATGTGCAATCTCCTTAGACCAGCCCGTCTGTCGGTAGAAATCGTTCATGTTACCCAGCGGGCTGAACTGGACGACGTGAATTCCCTGTTCTTTCAGCCACTTGTTGAATTCCTTCTGCTGCAAATAGGGGTGGACCTCCATCTGGTGGACTGCAGGGACCTGTAGACGGAATTAACTCAGTTCCATTTTTCGATGGCTGGGGGGTCACTTACAGTGCCGGTCTTCTTGAGCAACGTTTCAATTTCACCCTTACTAAAGTTTGAAACACCAATGGCCTTGACCTTGCCAGTCTTAACCACGTCTTCCATTGCTTTCCAAGTATCCACGAAGGTAGTCTCGCCGCGAATCATCCGGCCTTCGGCATCCCGAGGGAATCGATCGGCGCCGCGCTTAAAGGTACAAGGATAGTGCATCAACAAGAGGTCCACATAAGCGGTGTCCAGGTCACGGAGTGAATCATCCACAGCACGCTCCACGTCTTCGGGATGGTAGTCATTGCACCACAGCTTAGTACCGACAAATATGTCTTCGCGGGGAATACCGCTCTTCTTGATTCCCTTTCCCACCTGCTCTTCAACGTTGTAAACACGAGCAGTATCAATCAGGCGCATGCCCTTTCGCAACGCTAGACTGACGGTCTCTTCCTGGGAATCTGGGTCTTGGAATGTGCCAAATCCCAATGCGGGGATCTCTGCACCAGTGTTGAGTGTGTATGATTTTGAGCGCGTAGCGAGCCCTCGAGTAGCAAAAACCAGTCGAGTTGGGAGCAAGAACTTTCCTAGCGCTGCTGCGCGAGTCGTTTTAGCTGCAAAATAAGCCATTGTGCGAAGGGTTGGCTGAGCAGGTTGACTGAGTATGAATTCTGGAGTTTCACAAAAATAAATGTGACTATTTCGCGATATTTCTGGCTGACTTTAGTTCAACAGGGTGGAATAGCAAAGCACACAGTATTCGTAAGACCACGGTATTTCCATGGCAATTAAATGCTCCCGTGTTGAACCACGGAGCTGTCAATTCCGAGCTACCCCAATTGAAGTGGAGAATTGAGCTAAACAAAGAGGGTTCGTGGCGGGGAGTGAACGCGAGACGGGGACTTACGACTACGACCTCCGAGATCGCTCTGGAGGGTAGATATTTGTGGATTCAGTTTCCCCACATTTCCCCAGAGGTCATACGATAGCCCTTGAGAGTCTCACGCGTCTTCAACAGAGAAGTGAGAGTTCCCGCTACGGCATGATGATGGATACAAAGCGTGTCGGGAGAGTCCCCGCGTCGAGTCCAGGAGATGTGGAATGCCTTTGCTATGGCAAGGTCAACTTGCTCCTGTTGAATTCGGTCCTCAAGTTCTGTAATGAAAATTTTAATCCTAATTCCTTTCATTTTTCACTGAGGCACAAAAATGTAGAGTCCTCTGGACTTGAGTCCTTTAATCATTATACGATCTGTCGACCATGATACGACTGCACGGCGGAGTACCTAAAAGCAGACCGTAGGCCTCAGGAAGAGTTAATCTTGACATTTCCCAAGGCCAAAAGCGATTTGACTTATACGAAAAAATTTACATAAAGGGAATTGATGTTTGTCAGAGGCTCTCCATCGTGATCTAGCAAATGTCCTCCTTGAGCTTTCAAAGCCATCACTGCCCCGGATAGGCTTTCTAGTCTAGTTTGATAGATCGATCTTCCTCATGACATCCAAGAAAACCGTGGTAAATGCTTATTATCCCTGTAATAATTGATTAATAGTGCAGATGATACTTTCGAGAACATCTGCCGACATATCGTTGTTAACTCGATGAAGTCGTTCACGACCGCTAATAACCGGCTGGTGAGTGATCAAATGTATGGTGACATAGATATCCGCAGCTACCTCTCTGGTGGAGCGTTTCTTACCTATAACGTGGTGTACAATAATGCCGTCACTGAAGTAATGACTACCATGCTGATCGGCACTGTCATCAATCAATTGTACCGCACCCAAAAGATCTTAATGATGGGTGGCGGTGCCTGCGGTTGTAACCAGGGGATTGGCTCTGGCTCCGAGGCTTCTGTCATTTGCCGTGATGGCAGAGCCTGGTACGTATATCACTGCCAAGAGAATGATGTGTTTTCCCTTGCTGCCCACCGCTGGTGATGGGTTGCTACGCCTCCTGGGCCTGGAAAGGCTAGATTAAGATAAGATTAGACGGATATCACAAATAACGACAATGCCAAAAAGCCAAAAACGGAAGGGATGGCTTGTAGAGCCCAGTCTAGTATGTAGTGACAGAGCGGTTGTTGAAATGTTCAAGTGAGGCTCTGCGGGTTTATCCTTCCTTCCCAATTAGGAAGGAACTCGTCACCCCAGTAAGGATATAAATACCCCCCTCCCCTCATTTCTCTCTTCTTCTTCTTTCACGCTCCACCATGGTCTCCATATACCATGAAACATTTACCATTTACCATAATATCACCCTACTCCCCAGAAATTGTACACATGCTGATTTGGCTTTAGATACCACCATCCAATATAGGCTCAGTATCATCCAGTTCAATCCCAAATCATGACCACACTAACTTGCTTCTAGACACAACCCCGATATGACGATGGTGCCATCCACGGTAACGACAATCCACTCTGGTCTTTCTACTCTGTCTTTCATCTTGAACACCATCCACGGTGACAGCCTTTCATTCTTGGCTTTGCATCTTGGCCATCATAATGACCATGACCACCAACCACAGTGAGGACCATCCACCTTGGCCTTCTACTTTGGCCTACCACCGTGGCCACCGTCCATCATACACCTACACCAATAACCAGACCCCGCCTTCCACTTTGGCCAACATGAGCTTTCATCATCAGCCTTCCACTGCGAGCACCATGACCACCATGAGCCACCATCGGCCTTGCACATTGGCCACCGTGGCCAACATAAACCTAGGTGATAAAAGCTGTCCATCAATCCCATCAACAAACAAATATGCAATGACTTCCGTATCAAGTCTTCCCTTTACCATGTTCAACCCTTAGGGTCAAACGAACAAACAACAAACAAGAGCAACCTTGCAAAGTCTCTTGGTCAAGCAAGCCTCTACCAAACTTCGCAGTCAATCAAGTATGGTCTCATGATATTTCTTGGTCAGCTCACAGCCAACTCAGTAATCAGAAGTGGCTTCACAAAATTTCTTCTTCGGTCAACTCTCCATCCATACCTCAGCATCATCCAATCATTGAGCAAGTCCACAGCAGATTTCACATCAGCACACACTACAGTCAACGGCAAGGAGAAATTTTCTTTCGGCAAGGTTCACAATCAACAAGCTCAACAACCACTCATATTGGGTAATGCTTCCACAATTCCGAACATTTGGTCAACGCAACTTTTGTTAGATGGATATTATATCCACCTACTTTATCGTGAAGGTGTACAGTGGATGTCTTTATTGGGGTTTCGGCTTGTTATATCGCTAGGGTTTTCAATGTTCTGCCTCTTTCTCTCATGTATCCATCATATATTGTTTTCTAAGGATGACGACTAATTGAAGACATATCATCCACATTGGTCCTCTGTCTCTAGACCTCTTTAATAAATGTATCCGATTTAGAAGTAGAAGACACTAGTCTCAAAAACGTCTTGCATTAAAAAGAGAGTAAGTTTTCTCGCTACATCTTGACAGTAGTAAGAAGCCACGCAATTATCAAACAGAAGTAGGGAGTGTCATCAATCATCATGTCGTCCGAAGCCCTCCAAGTAAATAAGACCCCACGCCAGCCCAGATAGTCTGCGTAGAGTACCAGGGAATGAAAAACCAAAAAAAAGACTAGCGCCATTATTGTGAAACGAAGCCGAAAATAAAAAGCAAGCAGAACAAAAGAAGATCTAAAAAGCTATAGCCGAAAGTACATGTGGGGTCATACGTCCTCAACGTCGACGACCCGTTCCACAATCCAGTCCGCAAAAGCCTGACCCTCGAGTTTCCACCGTCCATCAGCCCACACATCACTGAACCAGTAGGCCCACGGCTGACTCGAAGATGTAAGTTGCAAATCCCAAATTGAAGCCGTCGCGCGGCGATTAGAGTGGCTATCGGCCCCGGCCGAGAGGTCATGATTGACGTTGCGGAATCCAGCAGCCAAAGTTGGGTTGCTGGTACTGGAATCGCCCTGCCTGATCCGCCATTCACGCTCGGCTTTCTCACCTGCACGACGGGCGACGGCTTCCTCGTCTTCTGCTTGGTAGAGATTGCATTTGGAGCATTCCGTGCAGCGGGACCCAGGGTTGATGCGGAAGTGCTCACAGAAGTGTTTGTAGCCTTCTGGTTCTTCAAACTCGTCATCGGACATGTTGCCTGCCACCTGTTCATCGTCAAAGGGATCGTCGGGTATATCGCCCGGGCCATCGAAGGCATCTAACCTGCGGGGGCCACGGGCAGGCGCGGTTGTTCGTATAGGTGGGCCTAGTGCCTTGCGGCATAGGTAGCACATGGAGTAGCCACAGACGCAAGTCAGTTTGTTGCAGCCTGAGGATTTGACAAATGAGAGGCAGCAGCGGGGACAGGTGCGTTTCACGGCAGCGGTGCGGGCAGCCTCGACGGTGGCGCGCAAATCCAAGAGTAACGGCTCGTGACACACATGTGGATCTCGCCACGATTTCTGACATGTCATGCAGCTAATGCGTGAGCACGAGGGGTTGGCACAGGTAAATCGTTTAGGTCGGATCTTGAGACAGAAGTTGCGAATGGCATTTCCGAAGACCGCTGTTACAGTGGCTGGGTCCAAAAGCAGCAGAATAAGAACAGGGATTACTAGTAAGGGGACAAGGTCAAGGAGGAGGAGGGTCATCAAAATCGTAGGAATAATGCCACCGTCACGACGGAACCGCCAGCGGACACCATGGGGTGAAGGGTGGTAGACTGGGTCGATTTCAGCATAGGAGCAGAATGGACATCTAACGAGCTTCAATTGAGACTTCATGAGCGCCTCAGAGGAGAGTCGGTCCTCAAATTTGCGGTATGTTTCGAAGCCAGCCGTGTCGAGAAGAATTGCCTGCTTCACGATCTCTGGATGAAGACATCCCTCGCACGATCCGATGGACAACGGCGCAAGACACTTCAAAGTCGAGCGCTCCAAATCAACAGATTTGCCCCAGCCCTGCCCAAAAAGCGCTTCGTAGACAGTTCTTTGGATGCAGTGGTAGCAAATGATGTGAGTGTTGGTTGAACATGTCGCGATCTGCTCAAATGTCACGTCGGCGAAACAACACTCGCATTCGTAAAGGGAGTTAAGTTCTTGGGCTTCCTTCTCATTCAACTCTGAAGCAAATCGGAAATCCTTATCATGCTGCTCTTCACGCTTCTGCCGCAAGAGCGGGGCCAACAACATCTCGTGGAGCTCTGCATCCAGCTCGCTACACCCGGTTTCCTTCAGAACAGGAACAAGCTCCCCCTCTGCTTGACGATGCCAGGCCAGGAGCGGATGTTCTTCGCGGTCCTTCTTTCGCCTGAAGGACGGGAACATGCTGTTGAATGTCGCGCGCCATGTCCGACGCGACAGATCCCGAAGCGTCGGTCGAGCCCGAGCATAGCTGAAATTCACTTCAGCTAGAACAGCCTCCACTGTACTCTTGTTCAGGCCATTATACTCTCTTGTCATGGCCATCCGCACAGCGGCCTTATATTCGTCCGACCGAAACCGCTCCTCAGGAGGGACCAGGCCGCCATTGTCAACATCATATCGAGTGAGATTGTCACCTCCAGGAACTGTACGAGCATTTCCCTCTGCCTCGGCTTCAGAGGTTCCTTCCGGGAGATTCCACCGCCCGGAAACCCATTTCTTCTTATGCCTAAGTAGCTCCTCCACACACACTTGTAACCGGCTCTGTCCGTCAAAGCGTAGCAGTAGCTCGCGGAACACCTCTATCTGTACATCGGGAAAGATTCGAACTAGAGTCTCAAGTGCGGTATTGAGTTCCTCCTGTTCCCGCTTGTGTTCCTCTGTTTCGTGGGCCGAGCAATGGACGGGGCCGCGGGATCGGGAGGTACTGCCAAAAGGGTTATTTCGTAGTGCTTCGAGGGTGATGGAGTAGCTATTCGGAGAGGAGCCAGTCTGTCCTAGAGATGGCTTTCGGGCATTGGTTGAAGAGCCGGAGGCTGACTTTCGGTGAGATTGCGCCCCGTCGGCGGGGCGGGATGTGGAGGATTTGGAGAAGCCGGGAACTGGCAGCGAGAGCACCATGATTGTGCAGGCTTTACATGGTTTGAGAGTATGAAAGTGTCAGAGGAAGAGGATATCAGAAAATGTCAGGAGATGTCAGGGGAAGGGGATGTAGTGTTGAAACAGCCCTGGAGCCTAGAGTGCTCAGATGAAGAATGGACGTTACATAAGATGACCTTCCGCCTTTTGTTTCACTTCACAATGTTTTTATAGTTGACTACCTATACTCCGTAGGTTTCTAGGTATATTCTTTTCTTTTTTTACATCTATCTAGGTGGTCTTTGATCTTTCTATTTGCTAGACAGAACCCTCTTTTTTTTATTAAAAAAACGGATCACATTTATAGAGTGTCTCGTTGAAACCACATGGAGTATATGATTCGATCCTTGCCATAGTGATGATACATCAACCCACACCATACGATACATCTGAGCCCTAAGCCACTGAACAGCAAATGGAATTTCAAATATCGCATGCTCGGAATACACTTCAAAAGAATCACGCAATGTCGAACAAATTCAAACCACCTGGCTTACATGAAAGGGCACTTTTAAAAGGACAGAATTCATTCTCACCCTCCACTAAATGCTACATTAAAGCATCATCCTTTGCAAAGTAGCTGTTGCTGGGGAAGATGACATGTCTAGTTCACTTTGATGTACATAAGTTGGCATAGATAGACCAGATAGATGTCGGTCTATAGAATTTCCAAGTCGGTGTAGTTACCAAATTCAGATTTGTCTCATTGGCCTCATGGGGAAAACTAGAAACAAGAAAAAGCACAAGTAGTATATACAAAAGAGAAGCAACAGTCTGATCCAAGTGTGCCGGCTCGCTTTGCCAATGGGAATATCGCTTCAACCAAATATTTCTTATTTTACAGTTTGGCCTTAGCGCCCTCCAGGAGCTCGGCACCAGCGCCGGTGATCGCAGGCTTG